GGGAAGGGACGAGAGGAAGAGGAGCCGGGACGAGAGAAAGGACGGAGATGAGGACGGGACGGAGGGAGACGACCGGGGGGGGATGGGGTGGGGGGGGAGTCTGAGAGAGGGCGGACCGCGAGGAGAGCAGGAGAGGCTTCGAGGCGGCGCGGCCAGCGGGCAGCGGACCCAGATGGAGAGACGGAGAAAGAGTCGGCTCGAGAGAAGAGCATGTAGAGAGAGAGGAAGGAGGACGAGACGACAGAGATCGAGAGGAGAGAGAAGCAGAGATGAGAGAGAGACGAGAGAGAGCGGAGATGAGAGTCCGATGGTCGTGTACTACAGGATGATTTGAAGATTGCGTCTCTTGTGCCCTGAAGCGCTTAAATTTCTGTGGCGCCTAAATCAAATTCACATGAATCTCGTGAGTCGGCAATAATCGTGTCACTGCTGCTCGGCTGCTGCGCCCGCTGCTGCACGCTACTGCTCGCCTCAGCTGGGCTGCTGACCTGCTGCTTGTGCTGCTCGCCTGGGGTGACGTGGTGGTGTGGTGGTTGGCTGCTGCTGCTTTCTGCTGCTGCTGCTGTTACTGCTGCCTGCTTGTTTGTTGTCTGTTGGTTCGTTGTTGGTTCGTTGTTTGGTTTTGTTGTCGGTTGTTGTTGGTCTGCAGCATGCGTGCCTTGGATTGAATTGGACGCGACGTGCTCACATTCGCAGAGGAGGAAGCCGTGCAACTACGATATTCGGAACCTTTTAAAGCCGGATGAGAAAATGTGGCTATTATCTGGGATGCTGTAACGATTCCGGCGTGAAGGAGTTTAATATCCTGTTTATAAAATCGTCTATTGTGCTGAGGAAATACATTATTTGACGCGCGCCGTGCCTCTCCCTTTTCCTCCCTCCCTCTCCTCTGTATCTCTGTCGCTCTCTCTCTCTCTCTCTCCTCATCCTCTGCTCTCCTGTCGCGAGCCTCTCTCCTCTCTCTGTCTTGCCTATCTCGTCGGCATCCTCTCTCTTACTTCTCGGCCGAGTATGAGCAGGATGTTCCTGAAGCTGAATCGTCCGATGTGTGTGCGGCGAGGTGCGGTGGGTGGTGTGGGGGGAGGCTACCGCTCGCCCCGCCCGATGCGTCGGTCCGTGTGATCGTGTGCGGTGTGGGTGCGTCGTCGGTTCGGCTTGGGGTCGTTTTTGTTGTAGGTGTCCTCTTGCTAAATCTGGGACGGTTCGACTCGAGATGTGTGGTCATGGTCTGATGTTGCTGTTCGGACAGATCGGCTTGCGCAGCTTTCTCTCTTATGCAAGAGCCTTAACCTACTTCTGGTTAGCAACATAGTTTAGCGGTGTAAGAGTGTTAATGCTTACTTGCTATCGTCGCGAGCGAGCCAAGAACTCGCCCTCCTTGTTACTTATAGCCATATCGCTCGCGTCGATTGAGATTCATAACCTGACGTGTGTTGGATGATGCTGACCAGAGGTTCGGGCGACAGTGAGTGGGGGTTGGATAATAAAAAAAAGTGATGCGCCCCGGTCGCATCGTTGCTCCTGCTGTGTGCGACTACTTGTCTCTTGAGTCTTCCACGTGACACGGTTTTCAAGGCCCACCCCTTCCCCCCCCCCGCCCCCCCCCCCCCCCCCCCCCACCCGCTGCGATGCTGGGTGGCCAATCTTCGTCGATGGAGAGAGACGGGACGAGACGAGAGAGAGAGAGAGGAGGGGGAGAGAGAGAGAGAGAGAGGAGAGAGAGAGAGACGAGACGCCCCATCAAAAATCGAGTCCTCCTTCCAATGGCAGGCGCGAAGCTGTTCGCTAAATTCGCGACATTGTGGTGTTGCGCGGGCCGGCCCCGGCGGCCGCGCGAGGCGGCGCGACCACGCTGCACCGCACACACGCCGGCGTGTATGCCTGACCAACAATGAGAAAAGCCTTTCAATATTGATCAGGCCCGAAACGTCCTGATAGAATGCTACCTTACGTGTGCGCTGCGGTGCGGCTGAGTGTGCGGGGTAGTATGTGCATTGCGTGCGTGCCTGACGATGACGTGACGTACGTAGCTGATGCGCACCCCTGCGTTCGCGCGTGCGTGCCGCTGAAATGCGAGATCGTGAAAATGAGAAGGGCTGTCGTTAGAGTAAGAAGCGATTAACATAATGGAAACAACCGGCTGGTAAGAATTAGACTAGAGCCGGAGCGACGAGACGGGAGACAGCACGAACAAAAGCGAGATCACATTGAAAAAAGAGGCGAGAGACAGACAGACACGACACGCACGCACGCACTTCACATAAACAGACAGACGTATAACAGGCAGGAGAACAGTATAACTTAACATATCATCTAGCCTATAGACTGGCGCATCCCCTCCAGCTCTACTACGACTTCACCTCGACTCACATCTCTACTGCTTGCAGGTATGTTCCTGCTGCACGCGATCGTGTCGACCTGTGGGTGAGCATGCGACGTACTCTTCTCCACCGGCCTCCATCCTTACACTCTGTCTGCATTCCTCTTACGACCGACCGTGCCTCCGCTCAAGTACCCGTGCAAGTACCGGACGCCAACAAAGACCCGCTGTCAGGTGAAGAGAGCGGGGAGAGGCGCAGCTTTGAAGAGGCGAGAGATGAGGAGAGAGGGAGAGAGAGTGAGCAAAAAGATGCCGACAGAGAGATGGAGCGGGGAGGGCGGGGAGAGAGATGAGAGAGACGAGAAGATGAGAGGAGAGAAGAGAGAGAGAGAGAGAGCGACGAGAGAGAGAGTAGAGGAGCAGATAGAGAGAGGGGCGGGGGGGGCGGGGGGGCGGGGTCGGCGGGGGGGGGGGCGGCTGCAAAATAGGCAGCGAGGAGAGACAAGGAGAAGAGAGACCAGAGAGAGCAGGAGGGAGGAGAAAGACGAGCTCGCTGTCTTCGGTCACGCTCGCCAGCGTTCGGACCTGACCACAGCCCTTGGCTTCATTTGGCCAGTTTGGGCACTATTTGGGTCAAGCTGGCTAAATTGTGAGCGACAGATTTGTTTCCTGAGGTCATATCTAGCCTTAATTGTCGCAGGTCTACGATTCTCTCGCTGCTATCACAGCTTGGCTCTAATTGAGCGTGCAAAAAAAACATCTATACCGTCTTTGGGAGGTAGGTCATCACATGGTAATTGACACAACACAGCGTGGCTTCCTGGGTAGTGGCACATGTTTCTCTTCAAGGTTGCAGCAGGCATGGCGGAGCACTGCAGATGTGACGCACCTTTTTACATATCGCTTTGCTTATTGCTCCTCTCCTCTGCTTCGCCTTCACAGCTTCTTCATAGTGCCAAGGACGAGTGGCTATGTATGTTTGTGTGAGGTGCGTGCGTGCGTGCGTCCCCTTTCTCTCTTCCTCTCTTCCTACTGTCCTGTCTCTCTCCTTCCCTCTCCTCTCTCTCTTCCCTCTCCTCTAACAAGCTCTCTCTCTCTGCACATACGCGCAGCTGCTGTGAGATCGTCTGCTCCTGCTCCTCCCTCCCTTACTTCCTCTTCTCTCTCTTCCCGTCTCCGTCCTCCGTCTCCGTTCCTCCGTTCCGTCTCGTCTCCGTCTCCTCTCTCTCTCATCCTCTCTTCTCGCTCTCTCTCTCTCTCTCTCTCTCTCTCTCTTCTCTCTCCCTCTCTCTAACAAGCTTCTCTCTCTACACCAGGGTGCGCTTGTGAAGATCTGTTCGTCTGGGTATCTCTGTCGTCATCGCCCGCGCCGCTCTTCATTCTCTCGCGGCACCCACGACCGCCAGCATGATCCTCCTCCTCCTCTCTCTATCTCTCTCTCCCTCTCTCTAAACAAGTATCTCTCTCTACACACGGTGGTGTAAGATCCGCTTGGTGGGCGATCTCTGTCGTCATCGCCGCCGCCGCTCTTCATATCTCTCGCCTGGCCACAGGACGCAAGCATATACCTCCTCCTCCTCTCTCTATCTCTCTCTCCCTCTCTCTAACAAAGCTTCTCTCTCTAACAGGTGGTGATAGATCTGTTGTGTGGGCTATTCTCTGTCGCTCATCGCCGCCCCGCTCTTCATTCTCTCGCGCACGACCCGCAGCATGATCCTCCTCTCCTCTCTACTATCTCTCTCCACCTCTCTAACAAGCTCTCTCTCTACACAGGCTGGACCTGTGAACATCTGTCTGGTTGTGGGCTATCTCTGTCTCATCGCCGCGCCGCCTCTTCATTCTCTCGCGGCCTACGACCGCTAGCATGTATCCTCCTCTCCTCCTCTCTATCTCTCTCCTCCACTCTAACCAAGCCTTCTCTCTCTACACAGTACCGTGGCTGTGAAGATCTGTCTGGTGATGGGCTATCTCTGTCTCCTATCGCCGACGTCTTCATTCTCTCGCCGGCACGACCGCAGCAGATCGCTCCTCCATCCTCTCCTCTATCTCTCTCTTCCCTTTCTCTAACAAGCTTCTACTCTCTACAAGGTGGTGTGTAAGATCTGTCTGGCTGGGATATCTCTGTCGTCATCGCCGCCTCCGCTCTTCATTCTCTCGCGGCCCACCGACCGCAGCATGAATCCTCCCTCTCCTTCTCTATCTCTCTCATCCCTCTAACTTAACAAGCTTGCTCGCTCTACCACAGTGTTGTGAAATCTGTTAGGTGTGGGCTATCTCTTCGTCATCCCGCGCGCTCTTCATTCTCTCGCGCACACCACAGCATGATCTCCTCCTCCTCCTCTCTATCTCTCTCTTACTCATCTAAACAAGCTTCTCTCTTTCTAACAGGCTGCTGAAGCATCTGTCTGGTCGTGCGCTATCTCGTTCATTAGCCGCCCCGCTCTTCTTCTCCTCGCGCAACAAGCCGCAGCTGATCTCCTCATCCTCTTCTCTATCTCTCTTCCCTCTCAACAATTCTCTCTCTACACAGGTGGTTGTGAAGATCTGTCTGGTGTGGGCTATCTCTGTCGTCATCGCCGCGCCGCTCTTCATTCTCTCGCGGCACGACCGCAGCATGATCCTCCTCCTCCTCTCTCTATCTCTCTCTCCCCCTCTCTAACAAGCTTCTCTCTCTACACAGGTGGCTGTGAAGATCTGTCTGGTGTGGGCTATCTCTGTCGTCATCGCCGCCCCGCTCTTCATTCTCTCACGGCACGACCGCAGCACGCTGCTCATCGACGGCATGTGTTTCCCCAACGACAAGACGTTCATCGTCGCGTCATCCATCGGCAGCTTCTACATCCCGCTGCTCATCATGATCGTCACATACTCGATGACGATACACCTGCTCAACACGCGCGCCATCAAACACAAGAATGGCGTTCGCGCAAAGCCGTTCGGCCGCCACCGGAGGGCGCCGGCGAGAGCGGCAGCGGCGGGGTCGACGACGACGTCTTCTGCCGCGGCGGGGGAGCGGGCGGCGGAGGCGGCGGCAGAGGCGTGGGAAGAATCGTCAATGGCCATGTACGAGAGCGGTTGTCGCATGCCGCTCGATGGCGCCCCCCGGCGGATGGGTGAGGAGCGGCGCGCCGCGGCGGGGGCAAGGCGGCACCGCGCGGCGGCGGCAGGAGCGTGTGATGTCGCGGCGATGTCACGTAGCGTTGGCGGTGCGTCCGAGCCAGATGACGATGACGACGACGACGACGACGGTGACGACGACGACGACGAGTCACCCATGCGATCGTCGCTCGACAAGTCCAACAGCTACGAGCACGGCATGCTCAAGCTGGCGATCTCACGCAGCGCCACCGCGGAGCTGGAGCTATCGCCGGACCCCCCCGCCGACAGCCACACCCCCGCGACGCTCCTACCAGCCGCCGCTGCACGCAGGGCAAACTCCTACTGCAAAGCGACGGCGCCGATGGGAGAGCTGCCGGAGTCGCGCTACGATGATGGTTGCCGCGACGACGGTTGCCGCGACGACGACGCGTCGCGCTGGAAGACGAAGTCACCGACGACGCCCAGCTCAACGATGCAGCTAACGACGTCCGCCTCCGCGCACTCCGCGCTGCACCACGGCAACAACCACCATGGCAACAGTCACCACGGCAACCACGTCGGCGTGCACAAGAAGCGCTCGCACGAGCGGCGGGAGAGCCGGCAGGGGGCGCCGTCGTCGGCGGTGGACTCGGCGCGCCTAGTCGGCTACGTCATGACGATGAAGACGCGCAACGAGCGCAAGGCGTCGCAGACTCTCGGCATCATCTTCACAGTGTTCATGGTGCTCTGGTGCCCGTTTTTCGTCAGCTACGTGATGCAGGCGGTGTGCGCACCGTGCCGCCGCCACATCACCGATGAGATGATGGTGGCCTTCACCTGGTTCGGCTACTGCTCGTCGATGGTCAACCCCTTCATCTACTCCATGTTCAGCCGCAACTTCCGCACGGCGTTCACGCGCATCCTCGCCTGCCAGTGCCGCAAGCTGCGCGACCGCAAGGCCGCCGCCCTCTACATGTCCACGACGTACGCGTGACGCGCCACGCCGCACAGCAGCAGGAGGCGCCACCATGGCAGGGGTCGCCACTGCCCTCTACATGTCCACGACGTTGCAGCCACAGGGGGCGTTAATGTGCGGTGTTGCACAAAGTGCCGCAACAGGGGGCGCCACTACAAAGCATTGCATCCGTACCGTGGTGAGGGATACCGGAGGTCGGATGCTCAAGGCAACAGCAGGGGGCGCCGCACAGCTCTTAGACTGCGCTGCAGCAGGGGGCGCCACGTGACAGCCGTGTAGGACTGACGCTGGTAGAGGGCGCTGGAGGGATACGGCTCGTACACCTAAAAACAGAGCCGGAGTGTCGTGGCAGTGTGCAATACATCCACTAGAGGGCGCATGCACGATAATACGCAGCAGACTCTACGGTAGTTTCCCACCAACAAGGCAGTAATCCAATATTAAGGCGATTTCAGCCAATAAGGCGATTAAGGTGATTGTTCACCATTCTCCCTATAGGTGGCGCTTATGCTGCCACGTTTCTCACTACAAGTCTTGCGTGTGTGTGTGCGCGTGTGTGTCATATACATATATAAATATATATATCGCGTTTGTCACTGTGTACTGATATTTGTGTGTGAGCACTGAACGCGTGAGTCATTCATTGTTCCTCTACTTAAGGCTCGCTGAGGGAGGCGGGGGCGCGTTTATTTACGAGTTACTTCTTGCATATTATTCGTTACCCCACCTAGCTGCGACACCCCACTCTAGGGCTTACACCGTGTACATGTGGCTGTTATCACGTTATCTCTCATTCGTGCCTCTCATCGCTCTTTCTTCTCTCTCCGTTCGCTCTTCGAGCTCTCGCTCTCTCCTCTCTCCTCGTATCTCTCTCTCTCTCATCTCTCTTCTCGTCTCGGCGGTGCTCTCTCTGCGCTCTTCTCTACTCCTCTCTCTCTCCTCTCTCTCTTCTTCGGCTCTCGTCTTTCGCTTCTGTCTCTCGCCTTTATCTCTCTCTCCTCTCTCCTCTCCATTTATCTCTATTTTTACCCCCCCCCCATCCTATCTACTCTGGCTGTTTGTCTCTCTTTCACTCTCTCTCTCCCCCTTTCTCTGACTACCTCCTCATTTCTCTCTCATGCACGGCGGAAACTTCTCTATGCTCCTGGTTCTCGCTATATTTGAATTTCTGTTAGCCAAATCAATCCTCGATCTGCTGGCATCGTGGGGGTAGGGTGTGAGGGAGAAAGGAGGGAAGGCCTCTGTTAGCGCCTGCTGCATGGGGGGGGAGGGTGTGAGGGAGAAACGAGGAAGGGCCTCCGTTACGACCTGGCTGGCATGGGGGGGAGGGTGTGCGAGGGAACACGCGGAAGGCCTCCGTTACGCGACTGGCTGCATGTAGGGGAGTGGTTGAGGGAGGAAACGAGGGAAGGCCCCGTTATGACTGCGGGTGCGATGAGGGGGGGGAGGGGGGTGTGAGCGAGAAAACGAGGAAGGCCTTGTTCCGTTATGACTGCTGCATGGGGGGGAAGGGTGTGAGGTGAGAAACGAGGGAATCGCTCCGTTTACGACTCGCTGCATGGGGGGAGGTGTGTGAGGGAGAAACGGAGGAAGGCTCTGTTATGACTGCTGCATGGGGGGGAGATGTGAGGGAGAAAACGAGGAAGTCCTTCTGCGTTAGCGACTGCTGCATGGGGGGGGGGAGCGGTGTGAGGGAGAAAGCGAGGAAGGCCTCCGTTACTGACTGCTGGAGCATGGGGGGGGGAGGGTGTTGAGGGCAGAAACGAGGAAGGCCTCCGTTATGACTCGCTGGCATGGGGGGGGGGGAGGGTGTGAGGGAGAAACGAGGAAGTCCCCTCCGTTACAGACTGCCTGCATGGGGGGGGGGGGCAGGGTGTGAGGGAGAAACGAGGAAGTCCTCCGTTACGACTGCTGGACATGGGGGGGGTGGAGGGTGTGAGGGAGAAACGAGGTAAGGCCTCCGTTATATACTGCTGCCATGGGGGGGGGGTGAGGGAGAAACGAGGAAGGCCACCGTTACGACTGCTGAGGATCTTGTCCACAATTCTGCGAGAGCGTGTCGGAAAATCTATCATCGACGTCACGTGGTCGGTCCGCGAACAATAGAACGTGCTTCGTTGTTCACGCCACCGGTCGTTTCCCCCTCCCCCTTCCTCTTCATTAATGCGAGCTAATTTCTCCCGCTTTACTTCTGTTATTTTTAAAATTACAAAATTGTGTTTTTGTCTACGTTTCCGCCGTTGTCGGCAGGCTGAAATCTATACGTGTGTGCGAGTGTGCGTGCGTGCGTGCGCGCGTGCGTGTGAGTGCGCGTGTGTAAATACTATCAGCTGTTTTGTGCCAGCGAACATAATTATTGTCTTTGACACTCACGATAAAATATACGGCTCCTATATACTCTACATGCAACATGTCACCGCTTGTTATTGTCTTTGTCGTCACGTATTATCTGATATATGACCGTATTTTAACGGATTATATTAAGAAGAAGGCACCCACCTGACAGAGCTCAGACAAAAGCACAGGGTGGTCAAAACGGATGGACACTGGCCAACGTCACTGAATCATCAAGAACTGAACTGTAGCCATGAGAACGGTCATCGAACCCCAATCCCCCCCCCATCCATCCACACGCACGCACGCACGCACGCACGCACACACACACCAGTGAAAAAAATACACGGGGGCTCGGGGCGATTTAGCCCCCGAAATGCCAAAAAGAGCCCCGGAAATGCCAAAAAGAGCCCCCGGAAATTTGCATAGATTTCAATGCAAACCAAATTTTAGAGTGCTATTTTCATGCACGCGGGTTTAAAAAGTAGCCCCCAAAAAATACATTTTTATTTTTTCCCTGACACACACACGCACGCACGCACGCACGCACGCACACACACACACTTACTATTTCCCTCCAGATCTGTCGCTTTCAAAATTACCATTCATTATTCTCTCTAATTACCTCTCTACATATCTACATATTTCTTTTTACTCTCCCGCCTCCACCTTGAGGCAATGGGTCAAAGCTCTTGTGCCTCTCTCCCACATACCACGCGATCAATGTATAAACCATAACGCGGACATGTAGTGGTTACGATGGCACGGTCGCCGCTTTATTTTCCACTCAACACCAGAGGTGAAGTGACGCACTCATCCGACATCAGCATTAGGACAGAATCAACGCTGCAGGCCCGGGGTGGCATCCAGGCATGACTTAGGTGTAGCAGAGGCTGCGATGTAGCATCGCCTCAGCATCGCCTTCCCATCTCCGCCCTCACGCGCTAGACCGCTGCGCCACCTAGCGACCAACAGACACACGGGCCAGCCGGGGGGTAAATCACCCGCCGACATCATGACCCGGGGGTGCTAGGGGACGCCACTCGCTCCCCCCAGGTGCATTATGCGGGCGACCCATTAGGGCGTTAGGGTGGAGGCGGTGTGAGAGCAACGACCCCGCCGTACGCACATTTGTTGCTGACAGGTGGCAGCTTGCTTCTAACGAGCCGCCGCCGTCAGCCGCCGGTGAAGCCCTAGCAGTCGCACGATGCTAGGCTCATGAATCACCAGCACAGCTCGGAGGCTGCGCACGATGGAGCGATCGAGC